ATAGCGAGAGTGAAGAGGCGGCAATATCTCACTGTATTTAAGCACTACAGCTTGCTAGGCAGAATGTAATTAAAACACTTCGAGCTGTAGATCCTATATCATCTGCAGAGACCTATAGCTCAGCCCTCATCAGTCTGTAACAAACCTATAGCTCATTCTCCCACTTACTCTGCACAAGTCCAACACTTTTCTCCTACTCAGGTTTGTTATTGTGTAGAGAAGTACGATTCATAGTAGAATTCCCAATTGCAGCATTACTGGGGCAGCCCAATAATGGTGACATGAATGATACTGTATTCATTAGTAAAATCCTCACATAAGATCGCTGGTCAATATATATGTATCTATATCAGGGTTTCTTATACATAAGAGCACAGTGGCGCACCACCGTTGTCAAATTTAACATCACCGTCAGGGAAAATGCTCCCGTAACTGCGCCTGCAGCCTCCGCATGTGTGCCTATGGCACGCCTTTGAATCCATCATGCACATTTTTTTCCGAAACTGGCCATTACCACTTTGTCTAATTTTCCCTCAGAAGAAACCCTGTATATGTTACGTCGATCTATCACTCTTGTATCAATCATCTCTATCAACGGTGCTCTCTATACATGCTAATAAACTGATCCAAATTTGAGTTTGACATTTTATGGTATGTAATATAAGTGGTTATTGCGCACCCGTAAGGTCTATGTCCCCCTGACCTCTGTTTGACCTGGCTCGTTTAGCTATTTCTGACTAACCCTAACCCTAACCATATATATTATATATATTAATATATATATATATATATTATATATATATATATTGGTCAAGAAATAGCTAAACGAGCCAGGTCAAACAGAGGTCAGGGGGACATAGACCTTATCTGCGTTACTGGCAGCAAATATCACCAAAAAATATAATACCTGTTTTCAACATACATACATCAGTAGTTCTCCAATGCGGCATCCTGAAATTTGCCACTGACATAACCAAATTAACCACTAAACTTATGATAACAATTAAATACCTATTTCAATAAATATATTATTAATAATTTCATTTTTAATAATTTAATATTAATTTTCAAATAATATAATAATTATTAGAGTTAATGTACGAGAATGTGCAGTTCCATACCGCACTAACAATTGAGCGGAAGGTACCAGAGAACATTTTCTGCTGATGCATGCACGCGTAGACAACATTTAGAATCCATGCCTATCTTTGTCAGTCAACGGTAGCATGTCATAAATGAAGCATTGTACACTTGTGTGCAATGCTCCCACACATCGTACCCCAGCTAAGAAAACCCACCTCTTCTCCCACAACCACGATCTGGGTCTTGAACCCAGATTAAGATCGAAGGTGTATGTTTTTTGATACGAGCCAAGGGCTTGGCAAACTTTCACAAGTTGCTACTAGGCAGGGGTAAAATTTCATTTTAAACACGGGAGTCCAACGGACTCCCTACCCTCAAAAACAGGGAGTCCGCCAGCAGAAATGAGGGAGAGTGAAATAACGCATTGCTTATTTTAAGATTCATGCGGTTGCACGTCTGCTAAATTTTTCTGGACATTAGCTGAAAAAATACGGTAATTCCGCGAGGCCGTGCTCCGGAACGAACTAGTTAGCTGTGGCAGAATTTTCAGGGAGTCACACGGACTGCTGCATATGTCAAATCAGGGAGTGCGACGCAGTAAATCAGGGAGTATTTGACTCCGGACTCCCGTTAATTTCGCACCCTGCAAAGGTGTGTATACAATGACAGCACGGTTGTGAACACATTGTTAACGCTGGAAGACTAAGTATTTACGAGGTTACGATGTAACGGCGTCCAAAAACAAGACAGATTAGGAATGCCGCCAGTACAGACAGTAGTCTAAATACACAATCCTTAGGACTAGAACTTAAAGGAGAAATGAGGGTGTAGCTCACAGGCCACTTGGAGCGTTTCAATAAAAATATCATGCTAAATAAATACGAAAACTATTTACTACCAAAGTCTTAATGTTTCTATACTCTCTTTCACCTATTATTGCCAAAAATTTCCTGCAAATGCCGTCCAAATGCTCATCTGAAACAAACGCTGACTGCCGCCATGGCAGGGCTATAGGCGGCGCACTGCATTTTGGGAAACTACCACGGTGCTTTCCAACTCCCGTACGAGCCTCGTCAAAGCCGCCAGTGGAGCGTTGCAAAAATGAGGTCACGAAGAGTGGGTGTTTCCTGATTCCGACAGTCATTTACATAAACTGCGCAACGGGAGCGAACGCGAGAATTTCGTCAGGCTTTGTGTGATTTTGCGTGACACAGCTCGGTTACGAACACAGGCAGTATGTTTTTATAACAAGTGAACACTGTTCTTCAAATAGAAACAAAGATGGAGTAGAATGGTTGATATTTGCGTTGTATTCGTGTGAAATCAAGCTAGCGTCGAGCGAATTTTGGCAACACGCTTTCCTACCTGCTAATAGTGCTATATATTTATGTGTTCATTATAATAAAGTGTGCAGCGGCAGCCAGCGTTTGTTCCAGATGAGCATTTGGACGGCATTTGCAGGAAATTGTCGGCAATAATAGGTGAAAGAGAGTATAGAAACATTAAGACTTTGGTAGCCTAGTAAATAGATTTCGTATTTATTTAGCATTATATCAGGAGTGTATCAAATTGATACACTCCTGATTATATTTTATTGAAACGCTCCAAGTGCCTGTGCCGTGGTGTAGCTCATTACAAACCTAGCCAAGGAAGGACTGACACCTTGACCTTGTTGAGAGACATAACACACTGGCCCGTGTATGAATATTTGAAACTAACTAGCAAATATACCGCACTTCGGAAATATTGCAGAAATATCACAAATAAAGAAGCCAAGAGTAAACACCGGCTGCAACTTCAGTCCAGATTGCGAAGCAAAACCAAGAACACGGGAGAAGACATCTCCGACTGCTCTGATGTTTGTTTTTATATGTGTGCTGCGCCCTGTCGGTATTTATTTTGTCACGTGCGTTTGTTAAAAACGGATGAATGATTATCTACGCATGTATGTTCGTTGCTTGTTGTATAACTATAACGTTGGTCAACATTAACCCATTCTCTTCTCTGTAATGAGGTTCATGAACGATAGCAAAACTAATTGGAGTGAAAAGTAAGTTAACAGTACTGTTTTGTTTACACGATTACGCACCTACGTACGTGTAACTTGTAAGTTCTGTAACGTAACACATTTTATTTATTTGATTTAGTCTGGCTTATGATTTACCTAGCCACAACTTAGCTCTAGCACTAGGGTGCGGACACGCACGCACACACAAGGACACACAAACACGCACGCACACGCACTCGCACACACAGTGACACGCACACACACACGCAGTTATAAAATAGTTAGGGTACCTGTCACGAAATGATCAGAACAAATAGTGGAGAATTTTGACGGACTCCAGTGCGTACCATTTACATTTACTCATTTACTCATTTACATTTAAGTGGCAGTCAGCCACGTATGACTTATCACGCCTTTCTGGACTCTTATGTCATTTTGGCAGCTCAAAAAAATATCTTTTCTTATCTGTGCAATATATATGATTGTGACAACCTACTACTACACAAGTTTTTGGCATATATACAAGGAAATTAATATGCTTTAGGTTTGCAAATCGGGTATTGCGTGTGTAAGCTCACGGAGACAGGCTGTTGTTTTCACCGGCACAGCTGGTTGCTAGGTTAAGAAAGTCCCGGATGTGGCAAAGTTCCCGGCTGTCAGCCCGCACCTATAGCCCGCTTACATTAACTGCCGCTGGCGGCAGCGGCAGTTAATGTAAGCGGGCTATAGTACTAGAGCTAGCCACAACTCACAAGTTCCCTTCTCGCTTAACACTACGTTCCTATGACGTGTAACAGTCGGAGAGCCTGGTCGGTTTATGATTTACCATACCAGTCTCACTGCCAGTGCCAGGACCTGCCTCAGGTGACAGTGACAGTGTCACCTGAAGATCAAAGATACTAGTTTGGGACCCCACAGATTTAGCGTTCGCAGCCTCACCAACCGCAGAACGGAAACCAAGCTCAACCGGATAAAAACTGGACATACTAAACTGAAAGACCACATGTTCAAGATCGGGGCAAGTGATAGTCCCCTCTGTGACTGTGGCTTTGCCAACGAGATTGTGGACCACAAGTTCTTTTATTGCTCACGACTCAGGATTAGCAGGATGAATTAAGATGACCGACACGATCGATCTGGGGTATGTGAAGACCAACACCAACCCAAGCCATCAGACAATTGACATTGCCACCCTTACTGGGGAAAACAATTAAGAATCTAACACCAGAGATGGATGCCACCATCAAACAGGCCCTCTCCAGATTCCTGTTTATTACAGGATTTCCAAATAACATGAAAAAAATCTTGACAAAGAAGGAAACCATGGATTAATTTCTTTGCCATTCTTCATGGTCTGCTGGGGACTGCTGTGATTAAGTTAGTGTCTCATTGTGCAGTTTTCATTTCTCAGAGTCCCTCCCAGTAATCTAGCCACAGACACTTCGTTGTTAACCAAAAAAAAAACAATTACTATGAGGAAACACTGGTAGCTAACGATACAAAGAGGGTATACATTGTGACCATGACCTCGTGAAGCAGGAGGATAAATTAATAACAACAACAACAACAACAACACAGATGTGTTTTCACATATATGTGCTAAACTAATCCGGGGTGCTCTAAACTATTTACCTAGGCTTGGGCTGGCACCATATATTATATAACAAACTAAATGTGTAAAAAAATTAACTGGCATTAAAAGCTTGTTGTACTTGCCACACAAACGCAAGCGGCTTTATACCTACTCTACTCATATATACGAGAAAATGTCACGCACACAAATTCAGGTCTCCCGAACATTGATACGTAAAAATAGGGATATTGTCCGATTGTGCGTAGATGTCAAATATGTTTTGAGTATCTTTCATTGTGTATTAAATTAGATGTGAGTGTAATAATGCCAATTGATAGTGTCATATTATGTGCAGCGAGGAAGAACTCTTGTCGTCTGACAGACCAAACAAAGATGGCTATCAAGAAGAGACAGACCCACGGCGCGTGCTCTTCAATACGGTTCCCGAACACCCAGAACCCACGCTTGCAAGAACAACCGGTATATGGGATTTATGATTAATCATTACATTAATTACACAAATCGCATGCACATGGGTCATTAGCAGGACCTAAGTCCTTCATACCCTAGCTGTATCACCTGATATAGCTTTTCATTACTCGAGTAATGGTAGTATGCAAATGGTTATGAAGCACATAAGACATCAACATGCTGAAGTTGCTTATGGATGAGCACTGTTCTATTATTTACAGGGAAAGTTCCCAGATGGCTTACAGGTGCATTTCTAAAGATAGGTCCAGCTAGGTTTGAGCAGGGAGAAGATCAATACAATCACTACTTTGATGGAATGGGACTTCTGCACAGATTTGGCATAAAAGATGGACGTGTGACATATCACAGGTAAACTGATTGTATACATACACGCACACGGGATGCGCACATGTGCGTGCGTGCATGCGTGTGTGCGGTCGTTCGTTCGTCTGTGCCTGTGTGTGTAGGTGCGTGCGTGCGTGCGTGCGTGCGTGCGTGCGTGTGTGTGCGTGTCTGTGTGTGTGACAGTGTGTGTGTGTGTGCGCGTGTCTGCATGTGTGCGTGTGCGGATTAGTAAATGTTTTAGGGTAATGGTCCGAGTTCATGGTTATTGAGTTAATATGTTTTATAAATTATTGGTATACTAATGCTAGTACGTGGATTTATCCTTATAGTCTCTTGGCTTGGCAGACAGTCGGCCCTAGTGATAGTATTATTTACTCCTGATACTACATATAACAAAACAATTATTGCTTACTGAGTATATTATATGTCTAGTCAGATGCACATGACTATAGTTTTGATAAGAGGAATGCAGTGCTTTTTTGGCAAGTGATGTGTATTCTGTTTTTCTGTTTACAGTCGTTACTTGCGCAGCAGAGCGTTCGTCCAGGGACAGGTGAGAAATCGAATTATGTTTGATGAGTTTGGCACCGCTGCTCTCCCTGACCCTTGCAAAAGCATCTTCTGTAGGTTTGTGTAAATATGACACTACATATTATACAAAGTAGGGTTCCCCACTGCCATCAAAAAACATGGAAGAAATTTCCATCGTGGAAAGTCTTGGAACAGTTATGGATATTTCTCCTTGCCCTAAAAATCAACCTTAAAAGATGGAAAGTGGTCCCAAGCTTATTGAATCCCAACCTACGCTACCTGTTAGCTGCCCACTTGTTAGCAGTCAATAAAAAAGTTGATACCTTGAACTCGTAGCGTTCACTATAAATGAATGGTGGTTGAACATAGTGAGTCCGTGCACCAGTCACTTGAGTGTGTACCTGTATTTTAAAAATTGTTACTATTCTACACACTCTGGTAGCATCTTTATAACTGCATTTTAAATAGGAGTCTAAATAGGGACAAATAGCATCAAGTGCCAACAGATGTCATCCTTTGAGGTGTTAGATGATTGATCCCCTGTTAGTAACGAGGCATAAAGTGCAATAATCAAATGGAATATTGCATTGTTTGCAAGAAATTGTTTGAAGATGTAAATATGGGAAAGTTGCTGTTAAAATCGCTATGAAATGCAAACTGCACAATGAGACACTAACTTAATCACAGCAGTCCCCAGCAGACCATGAAGAATGGCAAAGAAATTAATCCATGGTTTCCTTCTTTGTCTAGATTTTTTTCATGTTATTTGGAAATCCTGTAATAATTTAAAAGTGTCTCTTTAATCTTTAAATAGAAGCAACGTATGGTATGGAGTCATGGAGATCATAAATTTTGTTGAGTTTCTTTAGTAGATTTGTGTAGTCCATCTTATTAGGGAAAACAAACTGAATGTTTGTTCTTTGCATGAGAAACCTTTTTACTGTACTCTTGCAAGTTTTACGTTGCAATTTTTAAATGGTATCATATATGTCCGTCGGTTAACTGGCCCTGTGGTTTCTGTGGTTCTGTTAATTTATTGGTTCTCTGTCAATCATAGGGTTTCACCAACTGTTGTGGTTTGGTGTCAATCCACTGCAACAGCAGCTGTCACCATTAGAACAAATCATGGATGGAGTGGATGGAGGTCATAAACGAGCTAATGTTATAAGTACTAACAATCAGTCTGCCACTTCCCTTCTTGTCCTCATATTAGTATTGCACAGTATTGGATGTTTTATATACTGTAATTAAATGTCTTTGTGTATCACATTGCAAGATATAATATCATTTCATTCCATACTGCAGGTATTTTTCCTACTTGATTCCATTCAACTTTACTGACAACGATGCGATCAACTTCTTGCATTGTGGTGACGAACTCTATTGCACAAGTGAGACCGGAATCATACACAGAGTTGATCCTGTTAACCTGAATACATATGAGAGGGTAATTATCCATCACATGTACTCCCTTCACGCTCAAAGGTAGGAGCTTTGCTAGTAAGTAATTTTTAAACCTGTCCTAGCTCATTCATAGAACTTGACATATTAATGAAGAAGTGAAAATGTTCATTCTTATACACAGCAGATGGAAGTGCTAAAGGAAGGCAAAGTACAGCAAATTTCTGGCTGTACATATAATTCTGGGACAAGTTGTGTTTTTAGCTCAGCTGACGAAGTCAGATGCAGCTTGTAGAATCGCATGAATGTCCGTCCGTCCGTCCGTGCATCAACAGTTACGGCACAAATCTTAACCGCGCGACGTACGATCTTGATATTCGGGACGTTTAGGGGGGGAGATCGTGAAAAGGAATTGGGATGTCGAATTTGGGGGTCAAGGGTCGAAGGTCAAGATGTGTCAATGGAGAGGGAATATTTCCACCTTAACTTATGGTATAGGAGGAAATACGGAATTGCGGCACAAATCTCAACGGCTCGACCTACGCTCTTAATATTCGATTTATAGTGTGATGGGGAGGAAACCCATCACCAGCGCAAAATTGGAGGTCAAAGGGAAGTGGGGGAAAGGTCAGATATCAGACATTTTCTGAGGACATGGCCTAACGGACCGAGTGCAAAACTTTTTTGTTTCAGCGCTGACCTACCATTTTTATCACTTTATTGAAAGGACCGTGAAATCTACTTTCCGCTGACGTGTGAAGAGTAAGTGTCTGATAACCTTTTGACCTACAAGAGGAGGGTTAAACATGGATTTGTTGACTGTTAACAAAGGACTGAACTGCTTTTGGTATTAGAGCCCCCTCCACCCACCCCTCCCCCCACCCTCCCCCACCCTCCACCTTCATCCTCTCCTTCCCTACCCCCACCACCACCACTACGCTCGCGCTCGACGCATATCCATGATAACATTAATATAGCGAAGTCATTAAAGTTACACAGCTATATCTTTATTACTGTACTACCGGTATAGCAAAGCCTATCAACGCGGTGGCGGGAGGGCGCACTTGATTCGGTTGCCAGTGAGTTTATCAGAAGAATACACAGCTACAGTACACGTCAGTTGAGCGCTGTCGCTCTGCGGCACTTGTTAGCTAATTAGATGTCTGAGTAGGTTCATAGAATCTTTTGTTTCACACTGGTTAAGCTGTGCTATTTTATTATTATACTTCATCACTGCACCATATTTACATGCAAGCCCACATGTACTAACTTGCCTAGTTTATAAATAATTGATATCTCATTTTCAGTAATTTTCATTTTTTCAATAACCATGTGTTCATAAAGTGATAAATACTCGATCTGTACACGACCCATGCATGATGTTATTAATCTAAAAGGCTACTTCATTGGTGCCAAACACTTGAAAATAACTCATTCAAATTATGGAGTTGTTTGTCTTTAACATAGTAGTGTTGCATTTACTATCTCATTCAGCAATGTGTGTCTTGGCTGACAGCATTTATAAACTGTGTTCTCTTCTGTGCAGATACAGATGGACAAATACATTGCAGTGAACACAGCCACTGCACATCCACATTATGATTCTGATGGTACCATGTACAACATTGGCAGTAACTTTATTCCACCATTTCCCTCCTACAGTGTGATTAAAGTACCGCCCGTGCACGATTCCCCATCAGGTATGTCAGTTTAGTTTGATCCTACATGTTCTATGTGTCTGTCGTTGTATGTGAGCATATAGTTGGTGAATACTCAATAGCAATGGGAAGCAAAGCTAAGTTAGCATTCATTGTGTTGTGTATTAAGCACTCAAGTACGATACAAATGCAGATTCTCAAATCGAAAACTACCGATCAGTTTGGTGTGGTCGTGGCAATGCATGTGTCGCGATACAATTCTGTAGGGTTGTACATGTTGTGCCATCTTTCTAGGAAGTGCACAAGCTCTGAAACATGCATCCGTAGTGGCGAAGATACCCATACAAAGCTTCTTCCATCCAAAGTACTACCACAGCTTTGCCATGACGCCAAACTACTTTGTGTTTCTGGAGCAGCCACTGTCCATCAGCCTATGCAAGCTGGCATTTCGCAAGTTCAGAGGCCTAAGTCTCGTGGATTGCCTACAGTGGCAGGAAGGAGAGAATGTAGGTATAGAGCCACTTACCGAATTTGGAATTTTTCCAAATTTGGTTTAATGATAATAGCATCGCAAAATTTGACCATTATTAGTTATAAGTGGCGCAGTAGACGAGGGAACAATGTACCCATTCTGCAATAGCCAAGTACAGGCACTGCAGGTCATTTGGGATGGACTAAGCAGCTAGGAGTTTATTCGAGTGCGCATACTGGCATACACAACCAATTAAGGGACGAGCTTTCTGTTGTGTATCATCTAGCCCGCTTTGCTCTTGTCGGCGAGAAACGCTTATTGCTTGCGCTCGGAAAATCAATGCGCGAACGTGCGTGATGGTGTTTTGCAGTGCAGGATCCACGTGGTGCGGCGGCGGGACGGCAGGCCGCTAGCGACGCGCTACGAGTGCCTCGCGATGTTCTGCTTCCATCACATCAATGCGTACGAGGACGACGGCCACGTCGTCGTCGACATGTGTTGCTACGACAACACGGACGTGATTGACAGCTTCTACTTCAAGAACCTGCACGACAAGGACTACAAAATGACGGCGCTGGCGGAGGCCCGCCGACTGGTGCTGCCACTCAGTGGCGACGTACGTGCACGTAAACAATTGTTTATGCTGATCACTTGTTTTAGTGATGAGCAGCTGTCATGGAATTTCTAGGTTTTGCAGCTTGTATATAAGTACGTAAAAGGTTACTTAAAATTAGTGTTAATATTGAAACGAATGCAGTTCTATATAAAACCAACTGTATTGTGGCGAGTCACGATATGAAAAAAAAATTAGAATTTTGAACCCTCCATGCCCGGTTCCTTTGCTGATATTTTCAGCTGACAGATGACTGTCAAAACCTAGTTCGCCTCAAAGACTCTAAAGCAACTGCTGTGCTGAGGAGTGATGGGATTGTAATGTGCCACTGGCAGGTGCTGTCACCTAGAGGTGAGAAAGTAAAGTTATTTCATAACTGTAACTTAAAAAACAACAACTTTAGATTTCAGTGCATAGAATGTGCTTGTGTGGGGTTTTTTAATGACTGAATGTGGATGTGACTTATATAATAATAATAATAATATATGATAATAATGCTTTCAACTGTATGTACAGGTCTAGAGTTGCCAAGAATACACTATGAAAAGTACAATGGGAGAAAGTATAGATATTTTTATGCGGCTTCGGGCACGATGGATGGAAAGTTCAAGAACTCTGTAGGTTTTAAACTTAAATACTGCAATTGTAAACCCAATGTAGTTTAAATATGTCTATGTAAGGCAATATATCTTCTTTTAGTTACATTTTAAAGATATATACTTTTTGACATAAGTACTAACATGCACATGCATAGTGTTTGATACTTTTTGATAAGTGCTACATATGTGCGCAGTTAATACAACACTTGGGTCATGGGCAAAAAAAGAAGAGAACAACTAATATTGTGAAGTGAAAAGTAAATTATGTCTGTCGCTTTTTCCAATCTTGCGTTGCACGTTTCAGGTGCTGAAGGTGGATGTTGAGTCGAGCATTGTAAGCCAGTGGCAGGGCAGTGAGAATCAGTACCCTACAGAACCCGTGTTTGCACCTGACCCGGATGGCGAGCAGGAAGACTCCGGTAAGAATGCACTCTTCAGTTGTTTCCCAGATGAGTGGGATTCCCTGTTGTTACAGTGGGAAGATTGATGAGGCTGTACCGTGGTTGCCTCTAATTTTCTCTAGTGAAAATGTGATTGCACAGTAGGCTCTCTACAGTGTCACTGTAAATTGCGAATATCTTTATTTACAATTGAATTTCGTTTGCATTACAGCCTTATAGGTTTATGCTCTAACCATAATCCTTGCTTTATTTCATAGCAAGAAAATTTAGCTTGCCTGGTAACAACTAGTTTGGCAAATCAAACTACTGGGATATTCCTCTGTCCTTTGGACCAGGGGTATACCAACACGCTATCTTGCACATGTATGCTCGGTTCTATCATTTCAACGAATTGCATAGTTATTGGGCTGTGCGCCATTCCGTTGGTCATGGCACTGACACGGCTGCTGCTGCGCTGGTTGCAGGAGTTGTTGTCACGCTGGTGTGTGACGTGACGAGTGACAGACCAGACTTTCTCCTCATCATCGATGCCAGGGATTTCAGCGAACTTGCTCGTGCTGAGGTTGGCCAGATACGCACCACCGCTCTCCACGGCATGTTCCTGCCACAGGTGTCCACCTAGCGGCCGCCATAGGTACTACTACTACTAATAATGATAAGTGTATTGCATAGCAAGTGTAAAATGTTACAATTAAAATAAAAATTATGCATATTGTATACATGATACCCTCAAGCAATTGGAATTGATTGTATATACGATAACAATTTCTAAATCAAATTATATATGATATAAAAGTCCTAAACTTTGAAGAAAATAATGCGTGTTGTCGCAATTCTTGAGCATTGCTCCTTGAACGTAATGTGTTCACTGCGAACGCGCATTAAAGACATCACACCCATCTACGTATCCTTATCCGTGTGCACACAGTTGGATATTCTCATTCAAAACCTAATTGAATGCACGAATTTTCTGTCACGTTTTAGTTTGTATACAGTAGATATCTAATCAATGAACTATAATACTTGTATCTTGTATGTAGCAGAAGCTTAAGCCACCTCTGTGGGACACAGATTTACTACACTACCTCATGTGAGTTTTGTACAGCTTGTCACTCAATGCCATGAGCTATAACGATAGCGATGAACGCGTATTAATCTCACATGTCCGTCAGTATGAAGGTATCAGCCTGAGTAATATATTAATTACTAACAGCAGTCGCAGTTTATCTGGGAGCATATGACCGCACGTTTGGTGACTTGTTATGTCTGCATAGTATCGTAATTTTTAAAGAATGTGAACTATTCCTGCAAGCTTGCAATTATGAAACTGAATGTGATGACCCCAGTGCAGTTTGTTGTTTATACAAACATTTGTTTAAGGTTATTTGATTGCTGTGACACCACCTTATCTTTTGGGACCCATTGTCAGAAATATCATTAAATTGCGATGGTAATTAATGCTATAATAATACTTGTAGCAATATGTTACGATACACTAATAGCATTGGCAGATCGCAGCTGCAATCTGTAACTTATAGTAACAGGAATTTGGTGATTAATTTTCTGTCACTGTAACCAATTATTATGTTATTAAGATTTATATTTTGTTTTATTTATGTGATTTGTTTAATCTTGACCACTTGACTACGGTATTTTAAATATTAGTGTTAACAAGAGCTTATAATACTTAGAGTGTACAACGGAAAAACGGGAAAATAGTGCTATTTCACGACATGATTATTCTACTTTGCCTGCGAGTCTGGAATAATTTTATGGTATTGCATTAAGCAGAATTCTTTGCTCTCTAAAACAAGACCAAACGCTTGTCAATACGATACTCCTAGGCTGAGATATTGGCTCGTAAACTTCCCCTCCCACAGGCCTCACGGCGCCTCGAATCCAACTCAGTCAGCATCCTACTCGCCGCTAATTATCTTTCTTAGCACGGCTAATGACCGTCATGATGGAGCCGGCAATGTTTTCTAAATTATGTCTCTACAACGCAGCTCAGTTACTATATGGTGTAGTAAGAGTACCAAATTTGGGCATGTGACATCAATTATCAGCGCTCCAAGCGGTGACGGAAACCGATAGCCAAAATGCTTAGAGGCGAGTAGGATGCTGACTGAGTTGGATTTGAGGCGCCGTGAGGCCTGTGGGAGGGGAAGTTTACGAGCCAATATCTCAGCCTAGGAGTATCGTATTGACAAGCGGTTGGTCTTGTTTTAGAGAGCAAAGAATTCTGCTTAATGCAATACCATAAAATTATTCTAGACTCGCAGGCAAAGTAGCATAATCATGTCGTGAAATAGCACTATTTGCCCGTTTTTCCGTTGTACACTCTAGGTATTATTAGCTCTTGGTGTTAATTTTAGCCTCTCCGATTTTATTTTTTGTGTATGATGATGATGATGTAATGTTCTGCTAGGAACTTAAAACCACATGTACTGGGAAACTGGATCTGATTCATGTTTACGCACAACTAGTTGTTATTATGTTTATTCTGATGTGAATAACTATTTATTTATTGATATTTCATGGTTTACAGAGATAGATCTGCATTTTTCATGTTAAATATACATCCCATCTGACTAGATTATTTACTACAATGGCTTTGTAATAATCTAGATATCTATTATCTAATCTTTTGCATCTCTAGCAGATGTATTCTCATGCAGTTGACCATTTCAGTTGAAACCTGAATTGATATGGGGAAATCCTAACTTATTTGGCTGGTAATTGCAAATGAAATTATACATAATCATTTTAAATTGCTATAGGAAACAAGGAATAATCGGATATGGTTTGTAGGATGTCTTGTTATATATCAGTGTGCTTACATATACAATTTTTAAGGTCTGGATATTTTTTTAGTGTGAAATTAATTGCTATAGTACCAAATTACCAATAATGAATGCGGAAAACGTTCTTTTTATATACATGTTAGTTGCTGTGCTTTTTTTGTTTATATCTTTGCCATTTGAAGCATGTAAATAATGTATTATTCCTTGTAATTTACAACTAGAGTAGATATAATTTTAATAATATATTCGTTCACAAATTTAGTGTCAAATATATTGGTACAGTCACGTTTGACATGGAATCTGTCAGGCAGTTCTGTATATGTATATTATTTGTTATATTAGTTTGATGTCAATTAAACGTGTGTTGTTTTACTGTGAAACTCATGTTGTTACTGTGATGTATTTTCGATTAAATTTGTTTGCGTGTGTGAACGTTATAGGTGCCTAAAATTAACTATACGTACGCACACATTCGCACGGACGCGTACATGCCCATTGGCATTGATTGGGAAGTATAATAATAATATCTCTGCCATCAATTTGTCATTACATGTATTGTAACGTAATGTGGTGTTTCTTGGGCATATTGAGGGGATTTCCAGTGAGTGATAGGTTTCTCTGAGAGCGTTAGGATAATGTTAGGGATAGATGTGACCCTAGGGATGCATTACGTCTGCCCGTCTGCTTCCTGAAATGGAAGTGGCGTTCAGGGCGTGGGTGTGACACGTGTCGTGTGTGCTAAGCCCAAAGGCAGAAATCTTACTATTTAAATATGTCTAAGGCTCAATAACAGAAAAATCCTAAATAGATATGTCATCATGAGGCTGATATGTCATAAATATATCTGAAAACGACATAATGAAATTTTGGACATATGATAGTCATAACTATATTTATGACAGTGATACGTGACAATGTACCTATACTACTCCATGAAAGGGTTGACTTCTCATGGTCAATATTGATGGCGATGGGAATCATTAACATAAATAGGTTTTAGCAAATATACACACATTCACGCAGGCATTATATATTATATATATAATATATATTATATATTAGGCGTTCAGTATATATCAGAAGTAGATAATAGGGATTCCCTCTATTATCTACTTCTGGTATTCTCATGGTCAATATTGATGGCGATGGGAATCATTAACATAAATAGGTTTTAGCAAATATACACACATTCACGCTAATATTATATATTATATATATAATATATCTCCAGATATTATCAGACACACCATACGTTACGGATAAACGTGTATCAAGGCTATTCAGTTTAGCTTAGTTCAGATACGTGATCATAATTGATTGACTACGCTTATTCTTACGCATCTTACAAACATGGAAACATTAATTATATATATAATATATATTATATATTATTATATATTAGGCGTTCAGTATATATCAGAAGTAGATAATAGGGATTCCCTCTATTATCTACTTCTGGTATTATATATACTGTCTACCGGTGCCCCTTCGCTCCCGCTACAGGAGTCTGTAGACTGTAAAGACTGTAGCGTGCTGCCCCCTGCTGTGTTCAATATTTGTGAATGTGGGCAGATATTTCTATGCATTTGTACTTACCTACTATGCTCTCATCCGTTTTTGAGAAGGCGTGAATGGATAGCAGTCTATACTCTTTCTAGCAGAGATTTTACTTACACAACTTCTATTGATGAATGCATTATCCTGAACATCAATCAATATAAAAAATATTTCTGGCGGTAGGGTACCCGTGAAGAGTGTCATTTTCTAGAAGTCTGATGTGCGGTGAAGCTCTGTATATATATGGAGGTAAACTGCAGCCTCTCCTGTACAGCTGCAGCCTACATATATGTCTTACGATTGCTATTGCAACGTATTGTGTTTGTTAGTGGTGGTGGTGTTTTTGGTGTTGCTGTTGTTTTTGTTGTTGTTATTAATGATGATGTTGTTGTTGTTGTTGTTGTTGTTGTTGTTGTTGTTGTTGCTGCTGCTGCCGCTGCTGCTGGCTGCTGCTGCTGTTGTTATTGTTGTTGTTGTGATTGTTGTTACACACGTGCGATTGTTACTAGTATCTGGCAATGAGACTGTAATTGTTATTTTTGGCATTGTTTAGCTATTGCATAAAATAAAAAAAGGCGTATTTGGGTGAGGAATAGCATTTAAACCAGAGCAAGCAAGCTCAAACTAGCTCAATAAAATTACAGAAGTTAAATACAGCGTTTCACAATTATTATTAAAATCATTTTGTTGTTTTAATACCGTCACCATAAAACAGCTTTATTGGAGCAATAATATTTGCTATAGTATTTCACGATTACAAAATGTTACCAGAGCGTGCGGTAAATATACAAGGTTAATAATGTGTAAAAGAACGTATAACTAAATCTAGCGTGCATGTACTAGTAGTTTAGTAATGAGAAGGGTAATGCTGAATAAAATCAACACAGCAATGGTTGAGCAGTGAAGGCTCTTTGAATGTCGCGCTCCCTCCCCTCGCCCGGCATTCTGCGGAGCTCCATCTGGTGAGCCTATATGACAGCCTCGATCCGAAATACGATGTCTCTTTGTTGCGGAGGCAGCAGAAGATTTGGCCGATTTTAGCTGCTATAGGTATCGCACCGTGACAGAATTGCAAAGAGAGACCGATAAAACATCTAACTACAGGTAGGTTGGAGAGTTTTGTGCAAATTACGCTACGTACAGAAATATCTAGTATGCAAACTCGTTCGGTAACGGCTGTTTGGGGTAGTGTTTGGGCAGGTTGCCAACCACTGATTTTGGGATAAAGAATTATTTCAGAGGGGTGGGTATGTAGGTTTTATTTCAGTACTCGCTATATAACACTACAACTCTCTTCTGTGAATCTTGTGAAATGTATGACTGTGATGGAGAGCATTTATAAGAAGTGTGTTTTGTAATAAGTCGTTCATAAAAACAGGTGGGTATTTTTTGTAACCTGTGTGATATCGGCTTCACCTAGTGTACACTGGTACGTACTTAGGAGCAGTATTCGGAATATTTTTCACCGCATCAGCATACATGATCAGTGATCAGAGTCCTCTCATAGATTGTCAAGTTGTAGATTTCAATGTAAGTTTATTTTCGCATCTAAGGCTCATGGGTTTACTTCATTTGAATTATTTTGGTGATGAATAGGATGTTAATGAGCTCTTAGGGATTGACAGATGTACGTACCAGTGGTTTGCTATTTTGTTACAAAAACTGGTGGAATACCCCCTCCAATTTCCTAGTAGAACACATAGCATGCATTTCTATGACACAAATAAGAAAATTTTCTATAATATAGGTTACTACTATACTGTGTACTTAATAGTTACAAGATGATTAATTCATACGTGATTTTAATTGCGTGGTAAATGTCTTGTCGTATAATTTATAGCATGATACTGTCAAAGTGTTAAAGGGCACTCTGGTGCAATGGCTATATGAGGTGTGTGTGTTGGCAGAGCAGTAACTTAGTAGTAGAGTAAGCTATCTCCTTCTAGACCTATTATCACAGCTGGTGTGGACTGAAACAAATCAGGATAAAGTAGGTGGGCACAAGAGTAAACAATATAGTGTTTAAGTCAGGGTCCAACCCCCATTTGTGGGTGCTAATTACTAGACCCCTTTTGATTCTTTCCTAAATTTTTATACTTATCTATCTAAATGTTTTTTGTTTTTTTTTGCTATAGAGCCTGGATAAATAAATTGGCAAAAATAGTAAATTTAACTGAAATAAGTGTAAGAGTAGGTATAAACAGGTGCACATATAGGTCTATATTTGAGACAGTATACTGATACAGTCATGCATATGGTCATAGCATGATTTATATTTAAGTGTCATGCAATGGTAACATAT